GCACGAGAAGGAAGACAGAGAGTTAGGGTGTGCAGATGCCTCCAGGGCCTTCCTCCCAATACATTCTAGTGATCTTAAAAGCCTGACTCCACCTGAGAAGCTCTGTCAGCAGGTGGAGGCACCATGAAGAGCAGCTAGGACAGGTCAGCCTCTCACTTCTGCTTCCCCGTGAGGTTTTTGTCATGGCTTGTATCACTGTTGGAGGTCTACTATAATCTTGTTTATAGTACAAAGTGGAAATATCTTCAGGCTGCAGGCTGCTGATGGTGTGTGAACTCTGTTCCAGATCAACTCCCATTGAACCTTGAGGCCAATCTATTTGCAAAATAGATCAGAAGCTTTGTAGCATTCTCTGGTCTCTGCTAATACCAATTTAACTCATTGCTAATGTGCTGACTGGTCCTGCAAGCGATGACAACTCTGTCTCCAAGAGATGCATATAAGTGGGAGGACTGGGTCAACTGGACGTCACATCTTGCACCTGACAATGGAAACATGGAAAACATTATGCATTTAATTAATTATGCTATCCAAGTACTTCCAGAAAGAAGCAGGCTGTTTTTCTTTCTTGCTATTGTTTCTAACATTTTTAAGATATTTCTTTGTTGCTTTGTATGTCCTCCCACATGGAATAACCCCTGTTTCACTGTACTTGATGTTGGTATCATTTGTGGAGGGGAAGGGATAAAACAAATGGTTTAAATAGCGATACATGTGGACCCATTGCAACAATGAGATATGCAAATGTTATGTCAAAAAACTAACTTTACAACGTTGGTGGGGGTAGGGAGATGGGGGTATATGGGAAGGGATGGCAAGGGGAAACAAAGGAGGAGGCAACAATGCTTGATAAGAAGATACCATATGGTATTTTCACATTTAAAAAACAAAAACAAAAATAAAAACATGCACCGAGTGATCCCCAGCATTGTCCTTCTTTACCTTGGATCCAAAACTGTAGAGCCTCAGGAACTGAGCAGGAGCCCTCACGTCCATGCTGTGTGCTGAGTGGAACCTTCTCCTGCACAGGGTGTGAGCAGCCTATTATGATGTTCTCAGTTCAGTGGGTTGAGCTCTGGGCACATACAAATTAGCAGGAGCTGGGCAGGGCTGGGCATAATTGCAATCTGGCAGATTTCAGTGCTAATGTACAGTCCTAAAGACCACAGATGTCCAATTTTCTTACAGATAATGTGTTTCTCCCTGGTGATGTGAGAACAGAATATGTTGTCCTCTGAGAAAAATAAATGTTTTTAATTCCCATGTTTCCAAGAATTGCTAGAATTTTCTTTACTGTTTATATTAATATAAGCCAGTCACTGAGAGAGAAATATTCCTAAGGGACGTCAATTTTATACTTTTCCTGCATTTTCTATCTGTGAATCTTGTGACACAGGATTCTAGAATATTCAGGTTGTTTCCCTGAACCACATTATATAGTTAATAATAATCATTATTATCTAGACACAATGATATAAAACTGCTATGTGGTTCATGTAGAAAAATAGTCAGATAATTTCATAGATAGACTGAGAAATACATAGGCTTCAAAAGTTTTATGAGAGATAAAACTCTTAAAAAGTATTATATGTGAAATAAACTATTTTTATCTGAGATGTATAGAGTGTCTTCTGCTGTTTGTATTGGTGCCCTGTTCACTCCATACAAGTGACTCATTTCCTTCTCTTCTGAATTCTCTGATTTGTTGCCTTTCTCTAGGACAGATCATAAAAGGTATTTCATATTTATACTTAGGAATACACAAGCCTCCATATCTAGCGTTGTAAGTGTAATGCATTTCTATTTAATATAACATTCACTAAACTTTGGGAGGACGTTTGTGTCTTCTATCTTAATTACTGGAAGCTGCTCTCTCTCTCTCCCTCTCCCCCCCCACTCTCTCTCTTGTATCTAATATTTTCTTTAACCAATGGCTCAACTCTACCAAGTTCACTGTTTTCCTTAATCGTGCATTTTCTTTTATGACCAATATAATTTAGATTGTAGGTGATTTTTTTTGTGTGCTTGGCCTGAGGTTTGAACTCAGAGTTTAGGTAGTTCCTGAGCTATTGTGTTCAAGGCTGGTTTTCTACATGAGCCATAGCTTCACTTCCAGCTTTTTAGTGGTACATTGGAGATAAGCAGCACATAGATTTTCATGCCCAGGCTGACTTCCAATTACCTTGAGCAGATCTCAGCTTCTTGAGTAGCTAGAACTACAGGGATGAGCCAGTGGTACCTGGTACTAAAGCATTTTTTAGTGAATGCATTTAGGCCATTTGATCCAAACAGACACAGATGGAATAAAATGCTCTGTGTTCAGAGTGAAGACAAACTTAAGTCACACAGTTTGGAGAGGAAATCTTCAGCATGAGGAATCAAGCACAGTTGACCACAGGAAGTGAAGCTAGAGTTAAGTTAGCAGGCCACACAACATGGAGATCAGCATGTGGTGAGACACTGCATTGTATAGTGCAGGATGTCACATTTGAGGACAAACAAGCAGAGTAGTCACATGGAACTTAACATCACAAATGGAAGTATCTGCTGTGGGTGCAAGGAGATAACACAGTTGTTCCAAGTCACAGAGCCCACAAATAAGTCATTGTCTAGTCAGAGGCTTTTTCATTACCATTTATTGTATAAATTGCATCTGAGTCTTGATTTGATCAGCTTTTCCTGCTAAAACATGAATGGTCTCTGCAGCACATGCTAACACAACTGCTCCAAGAAGGATTTTACAATGTTCTTCTTCCCTCATTTTATGATGATGTATGAACCTACTAAGAAAGCTATACTCACCCTCATTCCTCTTAAATTTAACTACTATTTTTCTCATATGGACCTCTCAATCTCTGTCACTGTCTTTGCTGGAAGAGATTTGCTCTCTCTACCATGCACTGTAGAACAAAGCTGGTACTAAATAAAACAAGTACAAGGCATCTGGGTGCTGTGAAGTTATAAAGGCTACCTGGCAAATTATTAATAGAATGACAAAGGACATCTACCTGTGTGAAGTTAAAAGCAGACAGGTTCTAGCAATAACACATAAATTCTCTTGATCTATGCTCCAGGTCTGACTTCAGCACCTGTGAAAATGTGTCTTTTGAGTTTCAAGTCTGCAAAGGCTGAATACTTGAAAGAGTTTGAAACAATGGCCTTTAACCATAGATCTTGGCAGGCTTACATTCCTCTGGGCTGTGAGGGATGGAGTTACTGGCTGGGAGATTAAGTTGAGGACAGGAAGATGGGGGAGACTAAAGGAACTTTCTGTGGATCTTACTGAAAGAAGGAAGAGCTTCAGGAAAGGAATGTGTTTATAATCTGGGCCATGAAAGTAAGTGAGGTCTGGGACAAGGTGAAAGTCTGAGAGATCTAGACTTCAGAACAGGGCTGAGACTGGAAAGGATGCTCCAGGATTCTTCCCTTAGCTTATGGGGTGCTGGGAAAAGGAGGAGATTCAAGAGGGCCCTCAGGACAGATTCTTAATTCCAGTTCTTACTCAAACTTAGAGGAAGTGGGGCCCTGGTAGCTCACTCCTCTAATCCTAGCTTCTCAGGAGGCTAAGATCTGAGGATCATTGTTTGAATCCACCCTGGTCAGGAATAAATTGATCCCCAATAAATTACCAAGAATAAACCCGGAAATGATGTGATGGTTTAAATGGTAGAATGCTAGCCTTGAGCACAAAGATCTCAGAGACAACACCTCACCTACATCCTGAGTTCAAACCCCAGGACTGGCAAAAAAATACAAACCAACCACAAAAAAAAAAATCAAACAAACAAAAAAACCACACACCAACTAAAAAAAAACACTTCACAATAAAAGAGCACTTCACAAATAAAAGAATGCCGAAGTAATATGTCTATTGTTCATATGTATCAAGTTAACACATGGATAAACATACTTTCTTTGTCTAACAATTATGCAAGACAATCTCAGTATTTTAATGCAAAAGTATGTCATTTTATTTCTTTTACCTAAGGATTAATTTTAATTTGCATGTATTAATAGCATGAGGGGATTTTAATGATAATTCTATACCTAAATTCAGTGTACTTTGAAAAATTTCACTACCTTCATTTCACTCCAACACCTACTATTTTCTTACAGTATATAATTGACCTCATTATTCACAAATATATGTATATATACATACATATTATATTATATATTATACTTAATTCATTTTCATTTGTGCCATTGGTCCCTTACCTATCTCCCTTTAGACATTTTCCCCATTTTGCTTTCATGAACTTTCACCATGTTTTATTATTACTATTATTTAATTATTATTATATTATCATCATCATTTAATTCTACATACCACAAATGAGTGGGACCATGGAATATTTGGCTTTGGAATCCTGACTTATATCATTCAACATGATCTCCAGTTCCTAAATTTTCCAGCATATTATATAATTTCATTGTTCATCTCTCTGTCTTTGCTAATGATCCAGAGCAATAATGTCCTCAGGACTTTACTAAATTCCCTATTGTTGTCAGTCATAGGCCTTCAATTCAGGGCCTGGGCACTGTCCCTGAGCTCTCTTTTTCAAGGTTAGCACTCTAGCACATTAAGTTACAGCCACCCTTCTGGTCTTCTGGTATTTATGTGGAGATAAGACTCTCGCAGTGTTCTGTCCAGGCTAGCTTTGAACCAGATCCTCAGATCAGCCTCCTGAGTAGCTAGGATTACAGGCGTGAGCCACCAGCGCCCGGCTCAAATGCCTCTCCTGTGAGGCCTTCCAAGTGGAAATCAAATCCCCTGGATATCATATTCCAGATGCACTGAAGTACAGATCTGTGTTCTTTTTATGACAGCAGAAGCCTTGTGTGGATGATGACTGTGAGGCTGAGATGAAGAAATACAGTTAAGATTGAGAGGATTGTCACTGACCACCTCGACCAAATCCCCATCTGAACTTCAGAGCCTGGCTGTAGCTGTAAAGCACTGTCAGCAGGTGAAACCACAAGGAGAAGCAGCTGGGGCAGCCCAGCCTGTCACTTCTGCTTCCCTTGGAGGTTTATGTTATGGCTTGTACCACTGTGGGAGGGTAACTATTACCCTGTTGACAGTAGTAAGTTGCAAAGTCTTCAGGCTGAAGGCTGCTGATTGTGAGAGTGAACTCCGTCCCAGATTGGCTTCCACTGAACCTGGATGGCACCCCGGATACCAAATTGTTTGCCCAGTAAATCAAGAGTTTAGGAGTTTTCCCTGGTTTCTGCTGATACCATTGTAAATCATCGCTAATACCCTGACTGGCCTTGCAGGTGATGGGGACTCTGTCTCCTACTGATGCAGACAGAGAGGATGGAGACTGGGTCACCAGAATGTCACAACTGGTACCTGATAATGGAAACAAAAGACAAATATCCATCCAATTAATTATACTGTGAGACCTTTTATGAAGACCCAGGCTTCTAGGCTTAGACCTCTCCCACGGGGTGGAAGAAGTGCCATCCTTTCTTACCTGGGAGCCAGAGCAGCAGGAGCCCCAGGAGCTGGGCAGGGGCCCTCCTGTCCATGGTATGTGCTGACCGGGACTGACTGATACACAGAATTTGAGCAGCCTTAAAGAAGTTCTCAGGCCAAGTGGGCTGTGCTCTGGGTTCATGCAAATCCTCAACTGCTAGGCAAAGCAACAGAGCCAGCACAGATGCAGGGTGGTGGAAATCGGGGTCAAAGCCCAGGACTAAAGTTACCATGTGTCCCAATGAGACCTGCAAATCACAAATTTGTCCTTGAAAAATGTTTTCCAAAGACAGAACGACTCTCTTACTCTTTTTGAAAAAGTTTATTTTTATGGGATGGGAAGGTAGCTCAGTGGTAGAGTGTTTGCCTCACATGCATGAAGCCCCAGGTTGGATTCCTCAGCACCACATAAGCAATAAAAGCCAGAAGTGGCACTGTAGCTCAAGTGGTAGAGCACTAGCCTTGAGCTGAAAAGCTGAGGGACAGAACCTGGCCCAGATTTCAGGCCCCACGACCAGCCAAAAAAATTTAAAAAGTATATTTGATTTCAACAGGATCTATATTAGGGTATTCGCGATAGCTTTTTACATGTCAGTCACTCAGAAAAAACAATCCGAATGAAAATTATAGAAGACTACTGTCTTGGCACCAGATATCTGAGGTTATTTTTGTTTCTCTGTCCTACCCCAATATGTAGTTAATCATAATCATCATTATCCAGCAGTTGATAAGCGATAACACTGACTGTAGGTAGGTAGGTAGTTGGCTAGGTAGAAGTATATAGGTAGGAATGTATGGAGTTAGGGAAGTAGAAAATAAAAAAAGAAATTTAAGATAGAAAATAAAAAAAGAAATTTAAGATAGATTAAAGCAAGGATGCAAGGAAACAAGGAAGGATAATCTAGATAGCTACCTAGGTAGCAGGATGGATTTAAACAAAATTTAAACACCATGTTAAACAAAGCAAGTACAACCAAAAATCATGATCTGCAATGTAGAGACCAGCCCATGGTGTTTGCATTGCTGCCCTGCGTACTCCTGATGAATGGTTGCTTTTCTTGTCTTTTAAATGTTCTTTCCAAAGCCTCCATCCAAGACATTTCTCATAATTTTTTTTAATTTTCCCCCTAATATGAAGGAAAGAACTTGGTTCTATTTCTTGCTTTGTAACCATTATTCTTTTCAACACCAGTCATTTTCTAAGCTTTTCAGTGGAGTATGTCTCCTAACTTTATTATCTGAAAGCTGTGCTCTAAACCATGGGCTCACATTTACTTTACTCCATTCCATACATGTGAATTTCCCTATATCCCTCTCCAATTTCTCTAGTGTCTAAGTAATGGTGTTTTCATTGAATGGGACACAAACAGACAAAAAATGGGGTGAAAGGCAACATGACCAAGATTGGGGAAGAGGAACTGGAGCCACACAGTATGCAGAGGACATCTCCAGACAGTGAGGACAAAGACCACAGGCAGTGAAGCTAGAGTGAAGTGAGGAGGGTTCCCACATGGATGGCCATTTGGAATACTTTTACTTACACTTGGCTGAAAAGTGTGACAATGTATGAAATGGGTGAGAACTAGAAAAAGAATATGTCTCCTAAATGGGGCTCTGATACAATAAAAAATATATGTTTGCTCATGCTCCTCTGCTCATGACATGAAAGCCTAGAAATCCCTTGGAATTTAAGAGAGAAAAAGAGAAAGAGCGAGGGAGAGAGAGTGTGAGAGAGAGTGAGAGAGAGCGAGAGAGAAGGAGAGAGGGAGAGGGATGGATGCTTGGGCCTAGATGTGAATAAAGACTGAAATCCAACAATCTTTTTTTTAATTTTTATTTTTTGTGAACATACTATACAGAGGGGTTACAATTACATGGGCAGGATAGAAATCCAACAATCTTTGTTACCCAGTGTTCTCTCTATGAGGGAAGCACAGGTGCCCCTTGAGGATAGACAACCACATGGCATTGCCTCCTAAGACATGTTTTCTCTGAAAGTCCAGTTAATGAGGCTGAATCTAATCTATGGAATGTGATGGGAATCAACATCCTCAAAACTGAACAGCACACCAAGTGATATGAGAGAATTAAGAAGGCAAAATCAGTGTTTTAGAGAAGCAAGTGTCCACTCTACAATTAGGGACCAATGCTGTGAGTTAATCAGAGAAGGAAAAGGTTAGTCATAGCACTAAAAGGGGTTATTGAGAATCTTGGGGATATAAGAGACTAATGTTTCTTTCTCTCTTTTACCCTCAAATGCTTCCCTTTAAATAAATGGACAGGCTACTTTTTTTATTGAAACATATGATGAATATAGTAAAAATACATACTCTGCTAAAAATAGGTCTGTGTTGGTTTATATAGATTTCATCAGACAGTAATCATCCTCAATGACCAGTGTGTACTGCTTCAAGCTGTGAACACATGATGGATTAGAAGACCTCTGCCTTAGTTTGGAAAACTGGCTACTAGTGAGCACACAGTTGAGTTTAATTTCCATGAAATGTAAATTTTCAACTTCTTGTCTATTTCTCTGTTCATTATGATAAATTAGAAGACACTAAATGGAACTGGAAGCCCAATACCATGTGCCCTGATTAAGGACATTACTGAAAGTGGGAGAATATGATTGGGGACCAGTGACTCAGACCTGTAGCTACTCAGGAAACTGAGCTGTGAGGATCACAGGCCAATGCCAGCTGACACACAAAACTCTGTGAGACTCTTACCTCCAAATAACCACAAAAATCCAGCAGTGAAACTGTGGACCAAGTAGTTCAGTGCTATCTTTGAGGAAAATACATCAGGAACAGCATCCAGGCCTTAAGTTCAAAAGCCACAGCAACATTGAGAAAGGGGATGAGAATCCCAAAGGAGTAAGTTAGAAGCAGCCATAGAAACAGGATTTGTTCATTTGATTTCTGTCAGTCTCATTAAAATGAAAATTATGTGAGATCATTGATTTTCTTAGATGTGCTCATGACTTCACTGCTGGCGATTGTTCATAATAACTATCAGAGTATAACCATAAATAATTCCTTTGTATTGATGATAGGAATAAATGAACAGCTGTACAACTTGAGACCTGCTGCTGTTTCACCTTTGACCACCAGGGGGAGGAGTGGAACCTTAGACTTGTCAGTGTCAGGCATAGGGAGGATTTTAACTGGGACAGGATCCTGAGTAGCAGTGACAAAGGTGGCTCCTGAGCACGTGGTGACTCAAGGTTCTGCAGTAGTGCTTGTACTGAGAGAGATATCAGAAGTCGGCTCTGATGTCTGGAACTGATATGTACTGAAGAAGAGGAACTTAAACATGACTTTAAAACTCAAACAAGGGGCTAAGACAAAGCCATAAATCCTGCACTCTTTTCTCAGCCTGTCCAATGACTTAAATATTTTGCATGAGGTAACACAAGAGGTAACGCTTCCCTTAATTTTGTAATCAACTATTCTGGTACCAACCACATCATGTTTCACATGGTGTATCAGTTGGAAGAGTTTCGCTAATGTTTAATGTATTTAACTACTGAAAATTTTGGTGAATATTGGTGAGAATCTTGCACTTACTATGCCAATCTTGACCATTCACAGTCTCACAATGACAATTCTTGGGAAAACTCCATTTTTATCTCCCTTTCCAAGATGTACCACACTTGCACTTTTCTTTCACATCATCACATGATTTGCAAAGTACCCTTGGGTCCAAGGCAGGATGCACAGAGTTCTGTTTGCAATTAGCTTGTGGCTCACATTTTCCTGGGCTTCACTTAATAATGATAACTTCCTACAGGTCTAAGAACCTTGCATGACTAATCATTTCAACAGGGAAACAATGTGATAATGCTCCATTTCTCCCTACTTCATTTGAGGCTAGAATAACTTAGTGCCTCCTTCAGTTCACTTTGGAACAATGCTCACACACCTGAACACAAGTGCTAGAGGAATGGGAACTCTAGACTGAAGCTGGGAGGCAGAGATCAGGCTTGTAGCCCTGGCTGCTTAGGAGGCTGAGATCTGAAGGATCCTGATTGAAGGCCAGTCTAAGAAAAAATGGTCATAAGACCTATCTCCAAAATGACCTCTAAAATCATTTTTGGGTGCATGGCCTAAATAGTCAAGGACCATTCCAGTGAATGAGAGGCCATATGGTCAACCTCAGCTCTGAAAAATAAATACTAATACAATGTAGATCATTCCTAATTGAAAAGCAACACCAACAAACAAATCTAACTCCAGGTAGTGTTCTGCAATAAAGCTAACCTTAACGTCTCTTTTGAGAAATTTAGCTAAACATGACATTTTAAAAAGCTGACAAGTGATAATTGCATAAAAACTATTTTGGCTTTATAGGTCAAAATTATTGGCAATGATCTCTATGAAAGAGAACAAATAATGATGAGGAGATCAAATTACAGAAAATATTTTATATCCCCACAATGTTTTTCCTGTTTTCAGTAATAATTTTTCAGATCTGTGAATTTTAACGTTTGTTACTCATGTTAACAAACTTAAAACTGGTTATCATTTTATAAATGTTTAAATATAAGTCTCATTCTAGTGAAAGGAGCCAGTAAGTAGGGAGTTATAAAAGAAATGTAAACATATACATACAGAAATGAAATCAACACAGTAATGAAGATGAGTGCTACTTCGAAAATAATTCAGTGCTCAGAAAATAATTCAGAAGAAATATTAAATTAAAACTCCAAGTGATTTGGGTAAGGAAAAGGGAATAAAAATGGTGAAAAAAGGACAAATGGTGAACCATTGCCACAGCAGTACCCACAAACACTAAATTGGAAATGAACTTTACATCTTGTGGGGAGGTGTAGTCAGGTGGGAAGGAAAGTGTAGAAATTGAGGGATGGGGTAAAATGTTCAACAAGAAATGTACTCATTACCTTACATATGTAAATATAACCCCACTGTACATCAATTTTACAACAAAATTATATTTAAAAAGTAAATAAATGGATAAACATTGGAGAGCCATCAGGTAGGGTGAAAAGTAAAAGGAGATGGTGATACTTAATAAATTCAGTACAAGAATGTATTATATATTACAACACAGTATAATATAGTCTCTTTGTATAGAGAATATTATGATGTAGTATATACAGAACATTATATATACATGAAACATACACATAGAATACATACATATGTCATTAAAGTATAT